ATTTTAATTATTCCGTGCGTCGAGTAAGTAAATGTCACTGAAATATCTTTTTTGCAATAATTATTATATTTGAAAGATATTAAGAATTTTTAATATACTGAAAAGATTATTATATTTATTATATTTGAAAGATATTACAATTTTTTAATATATTTGAATCAGAAATTTGTTCAACAAAATGTATAAATATAAATGTAATGTTAAATATATAAAAATATGTATTTTTTCATTGATGTAATTTAAAGAAATTATATCAATACGTACGACTTTTATTTTTTTATATTGCTAATGTATTTTTGTTAAATGAGAAACATTTTAGCATATATATATGTATCTCATTTTCTGTCTACGTCAAGAACAAGAAGTGCAAGTTATGTAGATGTAAATTCTGAATCGGAAGCGCAACCGATTCACATTTGGCAACATGGTCAGCCAAAAGGGAAGAAGAACAGGGTTGGACAATTTATCCCTCGAGCGCCCGCGAGAGGAACAGTTACGATCTGGCATACAAAGATATTCGAAGCTTTCGAATACGAGAAGGGTCGTGTTTTCGCTAACTATGCAAAAAGGATACTCTGTGTGAAACGGCATGTACGTCGCGCGAAGTTAAGCCGCGCACAAACGTTGTAGCCTTTATAGCGCTAGTATTTGCCCCGCTGTGACGTTGGCAATTGATTATCTTGAGAAAGGTTATGGATAGAGAGAAAGAGAGAGAGAAGAGAGTTACACGAGAATTCGATAAAACGGAAACTTACGAAGAAATGTACAAGTGTTTGCAATAAACAGGAAAAGCATTGTGTATATTTCCGAAGAAAAATAGAAAGCTAAATGTTTAACAATGAAATTTGTATCTCGCTTTAGTGATTTTCAAGATATATTTTAATTTTAATTTATTACACAAAGAGAAAGAAACAAAAAAAGAAAGCGAGAGAGAGAGAGAGAGAGAGAGAGAGAGAGAGAGAGAGAGAGAGAGAAAGAAACAGAGACAAAAACACCAAATTATACGTATATACAAATTCTGTGTGTATAAAATGCTAAAAGCGAATATCTGATGTTGCTTGGTATTCATTATGATGATAATAGGTTTGCTTTCATTCAATTAAAAACTTTTCACGTCCCTTTATTCCCGCGGACAGAAGGGAAATGTTTCCGCAAGCTGCTTGTGATAATCCGGCTACTTTGACGATTCGCGATTCTCTTTTCCGCGAGACCGGCGCGCAGATAGAAAGAGAGAGGGCTTACTTAATTAGCTGATCTTACGGTAGTTGGAGAAGGATAGAGTCAAGGAAAACTTCTTCGGAAGAGTAGTCGGCGGAAGTGGAAAACGTGTCAGAGAAAATACGCGGGGAGTATACGAGATAAAATTAGCGGGCCCTGGGCGAAATATGAAAACACATCGCGGGCGATAAAAATAACAAGCCGTGTAAGGTTCCTCGTTCTCCTTCGAGCGCTTTATACCGGCGCGGTTATGTGTACTTTATTGCGATACGGACACGACGGACGGGCGATCCGCTTCGTGCGAGCTCACCGCGATAATACCATCGAGGAATAACACGTCCGACATGTTTAAAGGATGTCCCTTTACAATTGCGTGGAAAGAGAAATCGTTATACGTGCCCGGATAGAAACAGTGGATGAGCAGTACAGATTCTTATCATTTCTTGTTATCATTTGCATTTAGACTGTGTTTCCTGAAGCAACAGCGAGTAGCTGAAATGTCTACACTGTGCAATACCGAGAGTACTGGCAATTCGAATCCGAATAAAACAATAACGGCTTACAATAACATACATCTTGATAGAACAGCGCGAGGAGGAAATTATATATACCGACATTTTAATTTGTTAATTATCGCGTTGCGCTCATTCCTAATTATTAAATTGAAATATTATTGCGCGAAGCAGTATTTTAATTATACAAATATGTGCGATATATTATATATAAAGATTTCGAGAGACAAAAAGGTCGATTCGATTACAAAGTATTTCTCTCTCATCTTCATTAAAAGAAATCAGAGGATTTGAGAATAAAAAAAAAAAATAAAAAAAAATAAAAAATAAAAAAAAAAAACAAAAGTGGAAAAGAAATCCGCGTACAGGCGTGAGTACATCGAAGTGATATTTGTGCGTATCCGCTTGTAAATCTACGTTCCGTTTGCCCAACAAATCAGATATAATTTCCGATAAATTTACCGTCATCATTGCCGACGCGATATATTGATTTTTTATGCGGATGTGTAAAAATATGTGGCGTGTATTTCTGATAAAATTGTCAAGGGAAAAGCGTAGGAATTGGAAAAGTTATAATTTCCTTTTATGATCCCAGAAAACATCGCATCCCTCTGTATACGCGCTACACGCGCACTGACAGAGAAGAGCAAAGAAGAAAGGATTATCGGAACAGAATGTGGAACGATATAAAAAATGACTTGCACGAAGTCAGCCGCACAACAACGCAGGCTTTGGATATAAATACCGCGTGATTTTAGTAACACAGTAACGCTTTCAGATATTTTCAGGCGGTTAACGTGAGTGTAATATAAGTTTGTGCGATAAAATAGCATAAGTGAGGTCACGGATATACCTGGATATATCTTATTATACGATCTAATATTAGAAGACTCGTTTGTTTACAAAGCGAGTCTAGTATCGCTCGAACGTAGGCGCCTTTGTTATCGCCGCCTCTTTCGTTCTATAACCGTCCGAAGGGATTCCGTGCCGATGATGTACGAGCTGGCTTATGGAGAAAAGCCCTTTTTCCCCTCGTTACTCCAAAGTGCGCTGCCAAGTTCCATAATAATTCTTTCTCGAATATCATTATTATACCACCGGGTCTTCGTTACAGTCGATCCTTCTCCGAATTTTACGCGTCTTCAGAGAACAGAGCGGGAGAAAAAACGAAGCTGATGACAGCCTAAGTAATTTTTACCCATTTTTACGAACTCTCCTTGCGACATAGATATTGTAAATTGATTGTCTAAAGAATGACCTTTACAGGGTATACTGCGTTAATTAAAATGAAAATTAACGTGTTTCGTGGATTAAAAATTGGAATAAGAAGCAATCTTAAATAAATTTCAGTCAGAAATCCTGTGCGTTAAAGAATATTCCACAATTCTTTCTCTCCTACGTGAGTCATACCTGAAATAGCTTATCGATCCCTTAAATTTTTGCTGAAGAAGACGCAGTCAATTTGGGGTTCGATCGATCGGACGAACAAACTATATTTGTATCCGCCCTCTCTGCGAGGGAGGTTGAGACTGCTTTTCAGCAACTACCGTCGGTAGTATCGGGCAGCAGAGCACAACCTGAGAATTACCCCTTGCTGAGAATATTATCGTCGATATAAAAAGTTGTTTTCTTTGTTCACAATGTCTGATATTATATCGAGTTTGTTGCCACACTTGTTCGTACTGTTGGTATGTACAAATATCGAGTATCGATACGGTAGAAATTAATACGGTACGATATTTTATAAAAGTTAATTGTTTTTCAAATATACTAGCACAACACAGGCGCGCGCTACGCGCACGCTATTATTGTTTTTATTTTAACGTGTTGTGTCAGTGAACACAATCTGTCACTGAGATGACAGCTAGTATTATACGTCTTACAAACGCGGAAGAGACGCAGCAATAGATGCAATACATTCGACTCAAAAACGCACAATTCGCGGATTTTTTTATAAGGGATAAATACTTTGCCGTATCTTTTCTCTCTTTTCTTTAATTTATTTAATTTGCTAAATTTTACGACCATCGAGGGAGACAAAAGAAAAACATTAGAGGAGATAAGGTAGCCTCTGCAATACGAATACAACCATTCTCAAATAAATATCACGATTGTCTAACATTTATTGCCAGAGTACACGATAAATACATTATATTTACACAGGAGGGAAGATTCTTTTTTTTTTTTTTTTTTTACTGTGACCACAAATGCAAAAACTAATATAACTTACGGCTTAGCGTATATACATGTCCCTGAGGCTTATTCTACAATATCATATACACACTATTATTATACAATACCAATAGCTCTACGCATTGAACAAATGCGACGCCGTTACGATAAGTTTATTCAATTTATCACATTTCTAATATATATATATACATAGCACATTTGAGGTCATCACAAACGTACGCGCAAGCGATATGAGATACTGATGGATCCATTTGGAAAATACAAATTGCCAACTTTGCAATTTGCAATTGAAGGGTAGATCAATCGACGACTTTGTTAGGTAAATGGAATCAAACTCTGACCGATAATATCGATGGTATCGCTTCGAACTATTGCACGTGCAATTTTTTAAGCGACATTAATATATGTAAAATATAGCACTCTACGGGTCAATTTTTGTTTACATTTAACGCACTTGCAAAATAACCGTAATCTCTCTCACGTGAAACATCATCAGAATGTTTATATTACAAGTTACAATTTCAATTTTAAAGTTTTAAATTTAAAACTCGTCATGAGTAAATGTAATTTGTTTGTAAAAAATTCGCGCAAAATATGTTTACGATTCACAATATAAGATATAGAAGACAACATTATAGTATTACCATTGTTCGTTGATGTATACTCTGTATAATATGTAACATTATATATATATATATGTATATATATATATATGTATATTTACTTTACAACGCTATATGCTAAATTATATTTTATGAATGAAAAACACTCGTGAATTAATATTGCGACGATTCTACAAATGTATGTTGTTATTATGTACAATAAATATAATAGATTTATCATTACAATTATTCACACGGTTATGATTTTGCAAAGAGGAAAAGTCTATGAATTAAATATATTTCATTAGTTATTCCGTTGGTCATTAACGGAAGGTTCCAGAAAATTATTGTCATTCTGTAACACAAACGCGACGATTACATCTACGGTAGAAAATTGTCAACTGAATATTAAAAATTTATCGCAAAAATTAAGAGAACAAATTGAATAATAAAACAGGTAAAAATATAATTGTGAAATAAATATAATAATGTGTATATATTTTTTGTAATATGATATCTCAGTGGCGTAATTTATAAGCTCGAAGAAACTTATCGGAAGTACGCAGAAAATATCTTACTTTATGAGGCAACATTAACAAAGCGTAATAACGTCATTATTATCAAGCATCTATTATGTTCTCGAGTTACCTTGTTTCTTTTATTTGTTATATCAATCTTGTTTTAATAAATAAATATCGATATATATATATATTATTTTTACTACTTTTGCTGCATATATACAGGAGAATTTCTTCTTAGTCGGTACGAAAGAAATCAAGTTTTCAGAGTATTCGTACTCACTCTTATTCTTTCTTTCTTTCTTTCTTTCTCTCTCTCTCTCTCTCTCTCTTCTTACGTTCTTACATAATCAGATTATAGCAAAGCACCAGCTATGTACGTTTTATTCACATTTCGAGAATCAGGAGTGATAAAACTATAGTTTTAGTTCCGTATTTTATCGATGTTTATGTCAATAAATTAAAACAGAATAATTTATCATCATGAACATTTAAACACATTTAAATTGAATACATTTCATATGACGTTGAATGACGGGAGTAAAAAATACATTCGCGTACACGTGAAACATACCTATTGTCTGGAAGAATTTAAATATAACTTTTGCCCTACTATCAATATTTGATTTAACAACTTATCCGAAAGTGTGCGCGGCCACAAATAATATGTATTTTCCCTCTCTCTTTGCTGAATCTACAGACTTTCTTCTTCAGCGTTAAGTGATGGCGAGGTCAACAAGGTTACCTCGGTTGGAATGGAAACGGTAAAAGCCAGCTACGCTAGTGCCCTCAGTGTAAAGGAGCTAATAGATTGGTGGCTTTCTACGTCTTTAACGAGAGAGAGAGAGAGAGAGAGAGAGAGAAAGAGAGAAAGAGAGGAAAATCTATTAGTACACAGTTCGGCTTGCGATGTGTTAATTACGCTCTTTACGAAGTACCTCGGTCACTCTGATCTGATCAGCCGAGATACTTCAGACCTCCGATGTCTCCATGTAAAAACAGCTCCTCAGTCTACTACATACACTTTATGTAAATTTTTCATGTACAACAAGAAGAGATCTTTTTTTTACGGAGAAGTGTAGCGACTCTTCGTAACGTGATTCGTTATCAAAATTCCTTTGTCGTGAAGCTCTCCGTCCACATGTAATGTTTAGGTTCTGGACGCGCTTTCTGTGTTACGCCAACATTAACGTCTACGTGGATAAACCGCTGGCCAGTATTGCGGTTAAGGCGGTTATCCCGAAATTCGTAAGCAAGTGACGATGGAACGTCGACGATGCCCTCGCCGACTGAAAATCAATCTGATCGTCCTCGTTATCGTCACCTTTCAGCATCGATTCTTCCTTCATACCGGCCGCTTTCTTTTCGTGGTTGTAATCGACCTTCCACATCTTTTTCGATTCCCGTCTACCGCCTGGTTTATGCGTCGTTTGCGGCTTATCCATCTCTGAAAAAAAAAAAAAAACCAAACGTACGCCGATACACAATAAATTCAATATTCGCCTGGGGATTTGCGAGTTAACGAAGTGCGAGTTAACGAAGAAAATTTTAAAATTTGCATGCGTGTAATTTGTTTGTCAGAAATAAAATACTTTTTTGTGTTATAAATTGTTTTTCGACAATCTGAAATGTAATATAAAATTTCATTGTAATTTAAAATTATTTGCAAGAGAAATGTCGAATAACTAAACAGCATTTTCAGGAAATAGTAGCTACACGGGTGTGATTTTCGCACTCGTGGTATCGATAAATCTCACCGATAACGAATATGAAGCGCGCTATCTGATATCGCCAAGATCGCTGATGAACGCGAGCGCGTCTGAAATTGTGTTGATCATCAGAATATGGAGATTGAACGTCCGCCGCAGTATATGCGGCGCGCTAGAAAGCCGCTTTACGTCGCATATCGCGCTTTCGAAACGAACGGGAACGGGCGTAAATGGCGAATCGGAGATATCGGCAAAGCCTGTCCGCGAGTAATAACCGGAAAAATAATCGGCCAAGCGGTCGCGGACTTTCCGCGCGATGCCCTCCGGTTTGACGTATTGGAATGTTGTCCGAGAGCGGGGGTGGAGGAGGGTGGGAAGGAGGGACGCGTTCCCGCAAAACCTGGAGAGCTCTTGTCACTTGCACGCTCCGTCGAAATGTCGAGAGTACGAAGAGATGCGATATTAATTCTCCCGTGTGTGTGCATCGACATTGCCGCCGCATGACGACGACGAAACTACACTTTTTCTAATTAATCCGCGGGATATGACAATAACGCGCGCCGCACAACATGTTGAGGTGACAACCGGCGACAATTGAGACTGCACGGAGACAAACGCGAATGTCGATGTATTTTCTTTCGTAAATTATGGGAGCAATGTTGTAAATAACGATAAAGAGAAACACGAAAAAGTCTTTTCTCTCATTCCTTTATATTGATAAATCAACATTCGTGTAAACAATACGTTATAGTTAACTTTTTGCAAGCTGCGCTTGCACGTTTTAGACCGAATTGTGAAAGCTGCTTAAATTAAACTGAGAAGTGTGTGTGCAAAATATATATTTGGGCGAAACACTCGAATGTAGAAACGCTTCATTGTAGGGAACAATTCTCCCGTAGAAACGTAGGAATACACAGTGCAATCCGCTAAGCGCTGTTGTGATCCGATTATCACGCGGTAGGCATGCTAGTTGAACAACTCTCTTAGACTGCCAAGTAGACTGTAGTTTGTATTTTTACATGAGTGTTAACAAGTTTCAATTAATTTAATTTACATGACGATTTTTATGATTGTGCCACGTGTGATTGCGCGTCGTTATGAAATTAAGCACAAATTACGATTACGTGAATATTTTACATTTTTCTATTGTCAAAAATTCCTTTTTGGAATTTCCAAAGTGCCATTGTTGAAACAGTAATCAACTTTCATTCGATATGCAGGAGCTTTACCAACGTTGATTTCAATTCGCAAACGACAATTGTGTTTACTTCTGCGTTTATGTTTACTCAGCAGTACTGTTTGCAAATCTCGGAAAGCATACGTGGAGCTGCATATTCGCAGAAGCGCAGATGCGAAATGTGTGCTCTTGGCGATTCTGACAGTTTTCGGTGTAACACACAGTGCAATTTAATAAATGCATTAATTAATACGGCTGGACGCTACATTCTGGTCGAATATCGGAATTGCGGTCAGCTTTATACGCGCGTCCTCTCGCGCGTTACTCCGAAAAGCCGTTGAAATAGTTATCCCCCCGTCGAATGCCTTAAATTACGAATTTACATTTATTAGCGTTTGCCCGGCTGTATCATCTTCTTTGAAGCCCGCTGTGCTTGTGGTAATGAATATTGCGACTGTGGTTTAAGATGCTCGGAGCTCTTCCGCTTCACTGCAATTAGCCGGTAATGTGTTCCACTCGTAAAACCCGCAATTCTATTCACTTCACTACCGGCGATGCCATTCCACGGCAACACATTTAATAACGTCTGAGAGTAAGCAATAATCAAGCATGGAGATAAAATAATTCAGCTTGTCTATCTCTTTACATTCATCTTTTCATCCGTTTCTCTTCCACAAAGAATCGCAAGTAGTGCGAATTTAGAATTACGAATGTGTGGCGCGCTCTTTTCACGTCTGTATCACTGTCAGACTCTCGAGAACATTAGAAGTAACAAAAAGCAAAAAGGAGAAGAGCGATTTGTAAAATTGAAATAAATAATATAATTAAGATAACACATGCTCACTTGTAATCACGTGACTTTATACACCCCGAAGAGTACTTATTACAATTCCAATTATAATTTACGTATAGTTTAACAGTAATAATTACGTCGCCTTAGCTCTGCCTAATCATTTTCGAGAATATTACTTTACCTCGTGTTAATACACCGCGTACTAATAGCGATGTAAAATTAGATTTCGCGGGACCAATCGCGACTTAACCGTTGCTCAAAGAAAACTCGCTTGCACCGGCCTTCGCTCTCCTGCCTCCCTCTTCCCGTTTTCCTAAGCGAGGCAAAAGTGAACTAACGACCACGGCGCATTTATCGTTCGCATCTATACGCGCGCGCGCTCTCCTCATCCGGCGATATAATGCAATTTGAATATAGGCCATCATGCACAGACTTGCATGCCATGCGTGCACGTCATTGTATACAGACTCGGAACGACCGAGCGACGCGATGGCACGACTCGAGCACCGAGAGTTCCTTATAGTCTAGGCCCTTCGTTCTTGAAGCATCTCTCCTCGTCGTGACTCGCTTCTTCCCGCGCAAGCCGCCGCCACGCTCGTCGATAATTCGTCCTTTCCCACCTTAACCCTGCCTGCCACTCCGCGACGTTCGTATATGTGTTCAGAGTACTCGAATGTGAGATTCCCATCCAAGTTAACCGACTCCAACGGAGCATATAATCCACGGCTCGTTTCTCTCTAGTTAATTATTGCTAATAATGTTAAAGCGCGTGTGTGCGCTCTTCTCCTGCTCCTGTCCTGACCTCAACATTGGAAAAAGGTTTCGGCGAGCGTAGCGGCGCGACAGGAGGCGGCACGCGGAAATGTCTATCGGCATTTCAATGAAGCGCATTGGAGAGATCTACGTTGGATTAAACTACTGGGCTAATTACTGGAGAAGTGATTCGCGAGAATGGAAATTCGTGACGGTCGGGCGTGTCCTCCCGTCGTCGTTGTCGTCGTCGTCGTCGTCGTCGTAGTCGCTTCGACCGCAGCGTTTTATTTGCAATTGTCGGTAATTAAGTGCCTCGCGTACCGCGCGACCTATTCTCCCTTCTTTCCTCGCTACCCCTTCTCATCCAATCATCAAGAACGACGATTTTCGTTAAAGCCTTCGTTTCCTTTCTCTCTCTCTCTCTCTCGCTTTGTGCGGGACCACACGTTTCCGTTCTTCCTCTCGTTATCCCTTCCCCTTCGAACACTCTAATTGGAGAGGCGATCAATTAACATCAGTGAGGTCGAACGGAACGGATGGGTCGTGCTTTACGCATTTCGTGCGCTCGGCCACTTGAGTCTCCCGCGCGCGCGAGAGAGAGAGAGAGAACTCGAAATGAAATATAATGACAGCGAGCGGAATGGACGTAGTGTGATGTCGGTGACACGAAGATGACGTGACGTGACGCCGACGTAACTCGACGTGGCGCGATTCACAGAGCTCAACGACGATATGCCTCTTCCACCCCAGGGCAAATCCCCTGCGGGCACTTCGCGCCCTCCATTGTGCGCGAAGAAAACGGCGAAGCTACTAATGTCGTTAGCTAACGAGCAGCAACATTCTTCGTGTTCCTCGCGCGCGCGCGAGAGAGGGAGAGAAAGAGTAGAGAAAAAAAGAAAGATTGCCGCTCTTTTTATCCCATCAGCGCGGACGAGGGTTAAAAGCGAAGGGACAGGGGTAAACAGGGTAAATGCGGGGTTGTTTGGCTTCCAAAGTTCGTATGCACGGAACGATGATGGAATCTGGCGATGGCGCGTCGTGGAGCGCAAGAGACGGAGAGAGGTGGGGAGCGCATTGGTACACTGAGATTGGGGCAATTACGTCGAGGAGGTTATATCGATCGGCGATAAACCGATAAGTTATCCGCTTAAGAATCGCGCGCCCGCTGGTTTAATTCCGGAACCGAGGATGTTTCGCTGCCCTCTCTTTTCACGAAACAATTATGCACGCCAAATATACGCAAGCGGATTTTCACATCATTGTACAACGAACGCGCTTTGCCCTCGCATATTCCTCGCAGTATGTGCCGAAATGAATTTATATATTTTCACGAAACGAATTTACCTTCATCATTATTTCGTATCGTTTTCCGGACACAGTAACAAGGAACAATAAAAATGCTTTGAATTTTCGCATAGTCAACGTTATTAAATTAATATAGATGTAATGTTTGAAATATAAAATGCCGAGATTTTTTCTAATACACGTACACACACACACACACACATTTAGAGAATAAAAAATAATTATATAACATTTTTACGTGCAAGATGAAATAATAAAATTTAACTATTGTATTTATCAGAATATAAGAAAGGATTTATATATGTAGCAAATAATTGGATTTGCTACAGAGAGAGAAAGAGCGAGAAAGAAAAAGAGAGAGAGGAATATTAAAATACAATATTTTACAGACAATATTTGTATGATATACAAATTATGAAAATTAAACCTGATATTTTACTACATGCAATTTTCAATGAGAAAACGCGCGCAAGTGAATAATACAGTGCAAGAATTGAAGAACCAGCTTAAAATAATAATTCTCTCTATCAAATTGACAATATATTCAAAAAATTTTATATTTTTAATAATCAAATATTGCGTCCTGATAAAATATTGTTTTTTTTCACGTAACATTCCAATTTTCTTTATGCGGAATAAATGTAGCGAGATAAAAATGTGGAATTCTTTTTCTATATCGAAAATTTATAAATAATCACTTTATTAAAGGTACAACTTACTGTAAACGTTGATTCTCCCATCGGTTATGCCGATAGAATTCGTTGCTAGACATCGAAACTCTCCGAAATCCAGTTCTCGTACGGATTTTATGATGAGCTTCATCTTTAACGCGTACAATCCCTTAGAATACGTTTCGACTTTATAATTCTCGTCTGAAAGGCGTACAAAAGCGTCAGCATAATTCATGATAGACAATATATATCGATAATTATGTATCAAAATTAGAACGAAATTATTCTCTCTAGTAGATAGTTTCGAAGTATTTTTTTTTTCGTACGATTCAATAATTAATGTGTTGTGTGCACAAATGTTTCACTAATCAAGAGGGCTGCAAGAGCCGATGCGTTATAATAATATTATATACATTGTTTATAAATAACAAGTTCATTACATCAAATGGAAATCAACACAAATTATAATACATCCGATTAATAAAACATCCGAATCGCGAAATTCGACGAATGCAAATTAAAATCTCATTCATTCGTTTTAATCAAAGTCAATGATTCAGAAGATTGACAAAAGCAGAGGCAAAAAACGTCGGACTCTCAATGCAATTAAATTTGTCAGTCATTAACTAAATAATTCGTTCCATGAATAAAATAACACTAACTAAAGAGAGAAAGAGAAAGACGGGCTTTCACGTCACGGAATAACAGAAAATTCCGGATCGATGCATGCGCATGCGGCAGTAAACTTTCGTATTTATGTTCCAAGCCGCTTAAGCATTATGGAATCGTGCAAAGTATGCACGAGGCGGATCGCGTTATTCGTGCAAATGTGTCGTTTTATTCTGAAGCGTGAAGAAAACGGGCACGAATTTCATGTCAATTTTCATGTATCCAGTCCTGCATATGATACAAGCGCGCGTCGCTACTCGGAAACGTTACCCCTCGAAGAAAAATTTTACCGCGTCACTTTGCATTAATATACTCAAAAAACCACATAATACGGACATTTTTCTTTTTTAATAACTACTCGGCAAGAATTTCAACGCTAATTGCGTCTCCCTCGAGTTGCGAGAAAGCTTCATCAAACGTCAATTAAGCGACTTAAGAAGTTGCGGAAGCAGATAAAAAGCAGTGTTTTTTTTTCGCACGAAAGAGTAAGTATATTTTTTTTCTCCGCGTGTGCTTTTAATTGATTCAAATGCATCTTTCCATTATGACACTTTGGGGGAAGAAATTTCAGTTTTGTATACGAAGAGTGTGCCGTCACGCACACACACGTACGGATTAGCGAACCGACACGGGAGGGGTGGCACGCACACGTCTCAACTTTTAATGCCGCGCTGCCCTTGCCCTTAACCCCCGCGGCATATCGCGAAGGTGCACGGTAGCAATTAGAGTGAAACGGCCGCGTTAGCGCCGTGTAATTAAGGCGAATCGCATTACAGCCACTCGTGCGTGCGCTGCAGCGTGCGCACGCGAAAAAAAACAAGAAGAAACATAATTATTTCGCATTGGTACCAAACGAGCTTTCAGCGAAAATCTCTCTCTTTTTTCTCTTCTTTTTAAATGATGTAAGTATCGTTCATAGATTTTTTGTTACTCTATCAAACAAGTTTGTGAATTAAAATAAATTTTGCGTTTGGGTTTTTGTTTTTTTATATAACAAATTAAATATAATATTATTTTTTTTATCACAAAAGAGCTCACCGTTAGTGATAGTCTCGTTCGTCGTCGGCTTTGCCCAGTAAGTGATGGGGCTGGGATGAGCCTCGATATCGCATTCCAACGTGACAGTTTGTCCTTCGTAAGCACCAACCAACTGATTCTCAACTTTAACCATGGGCGGAACTGTGCAAAGCGATTTTATTTTACAATAAAATACGTGTTACAATATTTTATCATTTGCCTAAAAATAAAGATACATAATTTTCGAATGTGTAAACATAAATTTTACTAAGATGAAATTTTTAGAGCAATTCGAGCACAATGATCCAACTTTTTAATTAATTTTTTTTATCACTTATATACGTAGTTTATTTTATCGTGCTCTTTGTTCGGATTAATTAACGAAATCAAATTCTGGAAGTGTTGAAGTGAAGCAAAAAAAGAATTTAATCAAGTATTCGCCGTCAAGGTTTTTTTTCGTTGCGAAAGATACAACCGGCTGACGGTCACGACGCGAATTTTACAATAACTGTTCTGCTCATTTTTCAAACATGTTTCCTCTCTTATTTTTTTTAATCAATCCAGAAACGTCGCTTGTCGTTGCGACGAGCGACTCGTAACATCGGCGACGCGTAGTAAAATTACGTAACGCCGGCGGCAAGAAAGATTTAACTCCGTTTTCAGGAACAATGGCCCTCCGGATCAGCTATTCACCATGCCTACCCCGAGAGGCGTCATTACGCGAGATCGTCCACACGCGAGAGTACGACAATTTAAATTATATTTTGTGGCGAGCGCGCGCGCATAAGAAAGGATTTTCTGCCACATCGGCGCGTAGGAGAACTCTACATAAAATATCATTTGTTCGCGTTTTATCTCGTATAAGCAGATGCGCATTATTAATACTCTCCTTTTAATATATTCGCTCGAATTAATATTCTTTGTTTTTTTTTTTTTTTTTGCACTTTCATCGAGAAAAATATCGCGTTCAACTGTGCGCGGCTTGGTCGCGGCAGAAAAAGAGAAAAAAAAGAAAGAAAATTCATTTCTCGATATTTTGCATGTTTCGCCGCGCGCGGTGTCTCGCGAGTGAAAGTGGTTGACGAACGTGAAATAAAGCGGTATCCCACGGTCATATAATGCGCAATAGTTACGCACAGTGAACGGTGAGGAGGATTCGCTTGCTGACTGTCGGTGGCACTCCGTTGGACGCGATGCAGAAATACGGTCCCATATGGAGACGCGTGATGCGTGTTATTTCCAACTCCGGGCCCTCGAAGCTCGTTACTGCAACACAGTTTATACAAGCGCATGCATACAAATTCGCGTTGTACATACATATAGACTCGGGTTATAACGACGCGGCATTGTTACGTACACGCCTCCGCTCATCGCTCTCGGTGGCGTTGCGCGTGTATGACGACGATCTGACCAATTGCACGCATTAATGCCGCGTCGTTAATTCTTAACGAAGCACGCGGAATCGCGAGTGATTTTTGCGCAGCATGCAGATTCGCATTTTGCAACGTCAACCATTATCGTATTCAGGAATTGGACGGAATTTTGCGATTGAAATAATTCAGCACGAGCATAAATATCGGTAAATTGATAACTCGCATTGGTTTTTTTTTTTTTAATTTTTGTTTTACACAAATAACCGTAAATAAGCGTTAATTGCATGGCGAGACAAAAACGAGAAACACGCTTAAACTTGTTCTTTCGCCGCGAAAAAACGGCGAAAACGCTAAACACATATTATTCTCCTGTTCTCGAATGACGGCAGTAAAACAAAAGATTTAGTAACGTGCAGGTCGTCAATAAAAAAAAAAAAAAAAACAAGTAAATAAATAAAACTGATTCACGTTGCGGGTAACATAATCTTGTTGCACTGCAAATTTTGTAGCAAATGGGACGTAGTGTAAATAATTCTCTCACGAAAGTAAACGAAGTCGATCTCATTATGTCAGTAATTTTCGTATGTTGTGAATTAATATTTGTTCTCTCTGATGTTTTCCACTAATTTTCATTTTATATATTGTGATACGGTCGACTGGCTTAATATTGTGAAACAATTAATTTCAAGTTTAATTAAAATGTATGTTTCCTTAATTTCAATATTATATAATTATGCTCTATAACCGATTTATATATACATGTACATATATATATATATATATATATATATATATATATATATATACATGTATATATATATGTATATATAAATCATACATGTATATGATACATTCAAATTACAATTAGTTTCGTGTGCCTCGAAGAATTAAATTGACAATTTAGCGCGCTCATTTTCCAGATTGATTATCACGTAATTAACATGCTTTCCTTTCGCAAATCACCGACTTACATCGATTCGGTGGATGTATTATTGGAACATTTTTTTCTTTATCCGCGTGATTTACGTGAGAGAATTTCCAAGCTATTACTTGTAAAATTTCCAAGTTGGTATTTGAAAAGTAATAACTCGGACATTTTCACGTAAATCACGCGAATAAAAAAAATGTTGTTCCAATAATATATCCATCAAATCGATGTAAAACAGTGATTTGCGAAAGATTCTTGTCTAATAAAACAAGAATAACAAATGATGTTTGACCGGTCAAATTTTTAAAACTTTATTACACGAGTCAAATATTGCACATATATCAATATACAAAACATGTAAATTATTCTCGCTATTTTTGCATCGTATAAATATGAAACTTATACAAAATAACATCTGTCTGCTCACTCTGACGACCTGGAAAATAGACGGCATTTCCATTCCTCGCGCACCTGTTGAGATAGAGAAAGCTTTGAGGCGAATTCGCGCATCAAACTTTCATTGTTCACAGAAAGCAAAATCTCTTAGTGCGGATTACCGTACAAGAGTAAAAGACTGGAGAGCCGTTGTCTCCTTTCGTTCTTTTTCTCTCTCTCGCTCTCTTCAGTTATTATTGAAAATTGTCAAACGATGAGGAGGAACGGCCCGGAGCGGTGCGAAAAATAAGAGCGCGCAAGTCGCACGCGCTACGAACACTATTTCCCCGGTACTTATAGACTAATGGGATCGCAACTGAACCACGAGAAACGAACGCGAGATGAGAAATACGAATAGTAGGGACAAACGACAAAACAGTTAAGCGACTTCGCGTCCTCGAATCGGCCGTGAAAGATAAAAGTTCCGTCAGGTGAATAAATCACCGGAAACGCGATCGCGCCGTAGTGTCTTGCGAGAATTTTCTCGTCCTTTTGCACGCCCCTTTGGCACGGAGCTCGCAAACGAAAGGACGAAAATGCTTCACAAGAGTCGGCTGGGGATGTTCGCGTGTTTTCGAAGCACGAAACTCGTTGGAGAAACGAGTGATAAAGGAACAGAAATAGGATGAAAGGAAAGAGGATTGAGGGAGAAGCCAGGCGAATGGGAGAGTTCTGAAGCCGAAGGAAACTAAAGCGGTGCTTTAGCTACCTGCCTGATGTACAATCGAAAATGTCCCCGACACTTGCTTGCGCAATTAGTCAGCGAAAGATCTGAACAATCCTGACGGCGCGGGCAACGCGAAAAACGAGGACGCTACTGAATAAAGCCGGAAACCGAAAGCGCATGAGTAATTGGATTGCGAGCGGGAACGGAAAGTCATGAGAAAAATTGTTAAATAAATATAAATTGAATAGAAAAAAAAAAATGCAAGTAAAAATAAGACCAACGCGCGCGTCTATTTTTCGTATTGTCACGACGGAATTATTAATTCTGAAAAAAATGACATTCTCATAAAAGCGACTTTTTTTTTTTTAACTACCGCTTCAAATGCAGTCATATTTTTGCATTTTTATCGAACGGTCGCGCCCGTTAACGTGGGGAAAAAAACATGCACGTTAAAATATTTTAACTCGAGCGAACATTTTGTATAATATTCCTTCCGCAAGAATAGAGAAATTAAATTACATGTTGATTACTAGTCTGCTGCTAAACTTTACTTAATGATAGTAGCGGAGAGCGCGACGCGGAGAGACTTATTCGGAATTGTAAACGAAATTAATTTCCTGACGAATGGGTTAAGCGAACGAGTTTATATTATAAAATACTCGGCAATTTTATTTCGATGGACATTGCGCCGGCGGCAGTTTGCTGATAATAACATCAGGAAAGAAACCATTTTGTGTAACGAATCGTTAAATTCTCTCGTCGGTTGCGAGAACTTCTGCAGGGAGCGGCGGAATATAGCGGAGGGAGTAAATTACTGTTGAATGTTATATTGTCAAAAGCAATAAGGAAACGTCAATTTAATCAAAAGCTGCATAAATTATATAAAATGAAAGATACGCGCGTGTATGTATCAAAAAAATACATACAAAAACAAATAAAACATCAGTAAAATAATAAGAAATTGTCAAAAGGCGTATTTACATATTTTTTACATTAATTATTAATAGATATACATTTGATTATTTTCTACCTTAATTATTTTTTATTATAGTTTTCTACTCTTTTTCTGTTATTTCATTCCAAGAATTTTGATCAAAGCAAATTGATCCACTCGGCGCAAATACTCTCACATCTAATCAATTCTGGAAAGCAAATTTACTGCAACGATCACTCGCGACGTTTCCTTGAATTATCAAGATATATATTCGATCTACAGTAAATTCAGAAGACGTATCGATTCGGCGCACCGTCCATCAAAACGCATTCAACGAACTGACCGAGCGCACAATAAACGTCTCGTTCAATCGGCGTGAAACGGCGTTCCGGATTTTCTGTCACTCTGTTTTAACGGGGAACGGGAGAAAAAGCTTCGCAGTAGCACAGACGTTACGCGAGCGGGTTTACGTTCAATATAAGCGAAACGGTGCAAGACAACGACGACAGCGATTGAGAGAAAACGAACGGAAAGACCGTTGAGCTGACTCTATATCTGAAGTAGTATCAGTCGACGACTGATGAAACGGCGTCGTGCAGCGACTAAACCGAAGATACTTACAGGACTAATAGAATGATTTCTTTACGCGGGAAAAAGTTTTGTTAAAATAACAAGAAGATCAGTTGCTGCAGCAAGAAAAATCTGTCAAGCCTACTGATTTGTTTTACCAAAACACGCGTTGTGTTAAAATAAAAAATAAAAAAATAAAAATATTCAGCAGACTCAAGACCTCTTCCCGTTGTGGATGACTTGAGTAGCAAAACTTTTTCTTCCGCGTATGAGAAGATGAAGATCTGATATACTTGAATTCTCAGATGGCTCTCCCCGCCTCCTTCTCAGAAGATACGTACCCTCGCGCCAGTTTGACATGATCGTACCCTTCTCGCGACGCCACGTGACTGTTGGCTCCGGTGTTCCGGTCGCCGCGCACCGTAACGTCACGTTGGTGTTTTCCCGCACCACCATGTCCGTGCTCGTGGGGTAGTCCAGGATATCCGGCGGCACTGAAACAATGACCACATTGCAACGAGAACGTCCCGGAGACTGCGCGCGCGCGCGCGCGAGCGCGAGCGAGCGACACACAGAGAGAGGATTGCGCAATGCCGCGCCAGGGAAAGGGTTAGATGGATGGCTATCTCGCAGATCATGCTCCGCCACCACCACCGCCTGTCGCAATATTCCGCGCGCACCGCGAGAACACACGCACGCGAGAAATCGCATCAACGAACGCGAATTCTCGCCCCATTCGCTCGCGCGGTCTCGGCTCGTAAAATTCCGATTCGCTTCGACAAATCCGAATTCTCGCTCGAATTTTCGCAGGCGGCCCACGTCCGATTTGTCCTGCCACGTTTTCGCGTTTCCGTAGCGGGAGATATCTCGATTTTTTCTTTGTTTGATTGTGAAGAAGAAATTTTTTTTTTTTTTTCGTCAAGACGATCTCTCTTCAGCGCTTTGGTTACAGCGCGTGATTTTAACGGGTCGTAACCCACGTCGCTTTGTTCGCAGATCGCGACTGGAAATTCGATGGGGTGTTGCACGAGGGCGCGCGCGGTATTGGCTGCGGCGAATCTATTTTTTACGTTCGCTCGATCGCGACACATATTCGTCTTCCTCTATAGTCGTCTTTGCGACGACAAAGCGGAAGCTGCATAAAATACGTTTAGCAGAAAGATGAAATCGTGTACAAAATGGTTTTTTATTGCATACTGATGTGTCACATAACTGTTTATATAGTTCAATTGTTATTATGCACAGTTGTAAAAAAGCAGATAATTTACTATTTTTGATTTACATGCGTGTAATTTAAAATATTAACGTTTTATTTTTCTCTATTGCATATTTCACGTGCAATTATTGTACGTAATTATTGTAAGTCGCACGCTTTTTAAAGCTACTTTTATAAATTGCCGCGCACCCAGTGATGCAAGCGGAATCGGCGAGGAGAAACGATGTAAGTGGATTATCCGACTACTGCATAAGCAACCAATATATCATACAAAGTAAAGCCATCACGTTGCTTTATCCGAGTTTAGTAAATGACAGTCAGCTACGATACGGCGGATTGTCGTTCTGCGCTTAGGAAGTGGATAGTTTAGAGTTGTTGCCCATCTATTTCTCTAATCTGGATAAATAAATCAACCTCAACACAGCTAAGCCGTTCATGTACTTATCATGTTAATTTGATTTATTCATTTTAATACGCACTCCACCATTCACGATTCTCTCAGCTCTGATTCGTTTTAAAATATATTTGAATTAACCGGTGACTTGTCTATAGAAAAATTTTACGAAATGCTAAGTGTAAAAAAAAAACGCAGATAAATATGAAAGCCACAACCAGCAGCTGACTGAAACCGTTCAATTTTCTCTTTTGCTTTGACAAACGCAGCAAAATATTCGCAGAGAGAAACCGGTCGTCGCGTCTCTCGATAGGAACAAAAATTCACAGGAATCTCATCTCCCCTGTGGTTAAAGGCTTTTTGTATTTATGAAAAATGATCGACCGAATTTATATTATTTATTTATGCATTTGTGTCTTAAAATATATTCGTCTGCCAAAATATATTGAATCAAAGTAGGAAAATTTATTATCGCGCTCGTACAACGCAAATTCGAACGAGAACAAGTTTTATGTCACTGAGGGTAAAATTATCTGTACTAATCCGATAGAAATGTATTATTTTGTTCCGATTCTGCGAAAATATATATAAAATTCAGAATTATGCAAATTATTTTCATATATAAAATATAGGTTATTAATATTTTAATTTAATAATATAAGTATATATTTTAATAAAATGTAAATATATTTTAATGTTTTGCGTGCGTGTATATGATATGATATGACATAGCTTTATTTCTGAGGCGCTCTAGGAAAATACCCTCAAGCGCAACATTAACAAAATAACATTAATTAAAATATAAAAAATAATGAACAAAAGAAAACAAATATATATATATACGTATAAATGTATAATATAGATATTATATCTATGGTATATGTATAGTATACCATACATATTATATCTCTAAAGATATTTATATATATGTATATTTTCGTCATGTTTAACTTGCATCCAAGGAACAGGTCATTGCTCTCTCGCTGGATTTACTGACGCGCCAACGCTTGCAAGTTAAATTAGTCAGTGTCTGTATTTAAGTGTACATAAGAGATAGGCGAAACAATGTGACAAACTAACAGCACGACAAAATGGAATATTGCACTTATGCGGGAAAACTGTGATCTGCGAAATATAGCGCTTATTATATTTTCCTTCGCAAAGAGAAACATTTACGCTCTTCTTTTATATTTCGTTGAAAAGTGTATTCTTTTCTCAATTGTCTGGACCAAGAAACGCTTCATCGATTTAAAATGCTTTTTTTATCGAAAAAAAAAAAATAAATAAAAATAAAAATCCCTCGATGATAAATTCTTCTCCGCACATTTTTATGCTGTTTTATCCGAACGGGATCGTCACAGCTTGCGACAATTTTTACGCTGACGTTGGCACCGGTGCGGAAATTATTTGCGCACGCACACGCGCGGGAGCCTTTTCAATGAAGCGCATAGAACAGCGTACAGAATAATGCTCACGATGTCGCCGGCACTTCACGATGTGATCGAGTTCTTCGCGAAAAATAATCTCCACCGCGCGAAAGGATGTTAGCGGTCACAGTCGTCGTTGCGATACATTTTCCCACGGCAACAATGCGAGGAATTTCGTTATCGAGTTGCTTTTCGAGACGAAATAGAGTGCCCCGAATATGGCACGGCTCGCACATGCAGCTTTGTACCCGGAAAAGACGACTGGACGGGGAATGGTTTCTCCACCATGGCTTTACGCGGACCAACTTCTTTCCCGGTCACGAAAGAGGCTACCTCCGTGAATAGTCCCGCTCTCACAGAGAGACCGACGTCGCGTCCCCCCGGTGAGTTACGAAAGACGTGTTCGGGAAGGCAAAGAGGTACCCAGGACGAAGTTTCCGCGGATGCGAAAAAGTACCGAGTGCGAATGATGCTTCCTTGTACTAACGACGAGGCCGAGAGAAGAGAGACGAGAGCCGCGATTGCATAACACCGTGGAAAACCCGAGGCACATTAGGAATACAAAATCGCTTTTCCTTCAGCGCGTTCCGATGTATATATAACGCTTTCTCACCGCGATCGATAATTAAAACACCTTTACCAACTCTTATATTATTTCATTTTTTTTTTTTTTAATAAATATTCCTCGAGATACATTAATATTTCTTATAAAGTAAAAATACGTACAAGCAAAATGTAAAACGTATGTTTCCGTAGAGAGTTAAAAAACGTTTACCGCATGAGTTATTTTCGCAATAATGTTTGTGCGAACTCGACAAAAGAACCGTTGGAAATGTAAAACGGGACCGACCCGTGACGACGCGGCCGAATCACGGCAGAACAGTCAAACAGAACGTACAACAGAGTACGGAGCGAATTCTTCCAAAGAATTAAGCGGGGCTTCGTTCGTCGGGGCAAAAAGCAATTCGACGCCGAACGTCGCTACGGCCGTGCGCGCGCGCCATCACAGAGGTCACAGAGATATCACCCGGGCCCGGCGTGCAATTCATTTCGCGCGCTACGTCCCCGACTACGTCGGTCGCAAACGGGGCGAAAAAAAGCGTCGCATCCGCAGATAGTATATTTATTGATACGGGAAAACAATTGGGTCGAATTTATTATTTCACGCGTGCCCGAGCAGCGTTGCGCGCGCGTTGCTGCCTTTGTTTTTGTTTGTTTTCACATGAGGGCATCGCGTTTTATTTGCGCGTAGACTGTACGCGTACACACACACACACACATGGAGCAAAGCGTGTTTCATCGGCGTGCCGATATCTTCGAGTGTCCTTTTTGAATGGCCGCTATATTTCGCGACGTACCGATAACGTTTGAAAAGTTCGATCGGCGCGACGGTGCGCCGTTCAGACCAGCATGATATTTAAATTGATGCACGTCTACCGATCTGCTGGAAGATTGAATTTCGCAAAGGTAAAAGAAAACCCATTCGCTTTTGCTGTTCGATATAATTACGAGTAATGCGATAGTGATAGTTGATATGTTTTTCCGCTGTCATCTTCTCGGTGTTTCATGTGAAAATATTTTTCTCATTGCTGTGTAGCGCGTAGTACGACGATTTTAGACTCAAATTTAAAATATATAATTATCACGGAGAAAGAAGATCTCGTATTTCAAAGCACAAATTAATTGAAATAAATAGTTCGAATTAACTACGTTGTCCGCGCGCATGTGTGTTATGGGCAAATAAATTGTATTTTTTTTTAAGAATAAATTTTTTAAAAATATCAAACGGTATTTTTAAAAAACTAACACGTCAGTCAAATATCACTGATTCTCGTCAAACAGTCGTATTTTTTATTTGCATTTGTTTGACACGTTCGCGTATGCTAACTGAGACGATGTACGCACAATTGGCCGTAATCGGTCACGTAATTAGAAGCATGTAATATCACACCAAGGTAGAAGTTGACCAAACCAGTAATTTCACTACGATAAACAAGAAATTTAACGAGGGTTGGCCGCGATAAGCTCGGGCTTTATGTTTATATATGTGCGCGCTTACATATGTAACGACACACGCCGCACCAGACAAAAGTAACGAGCGTAGCGCGACGTAGGTATTACTTGTCTGCGGACAAGTTTGAAGATGAATTAATAGTTATTCGTAAAAGCGCGAGTGTATCAATCAATGTCACTCGGCAAAGTGCATTAATCGAATGTAAAATAAAAAGTAAACTGAGTGATACAAAATATTTTTTCAAGGATATTCGGTCCGGGTGTTTCGCACGGACATATCGGATACGATATTTACTATTCTCATATTTTCTATTTTTTATCATATTTTGTTTTTCAAGAGAACGAGAAAAAAAACACAGCTCGGATACCGAAATCTCTCAACAGAAGTTTGATTACTCGAAGCTAATTATCGCAAGTGAGTACGCAAACGAAGCGTTATTTGCTACAAATTGCGCGCTTGAGCGAGTTTACTGCATAGAGAATTATGGTTATTACTGTTTCCAAGAGTATTTAGTTACTTAGCGTGAATTTTGTCTAAATGCTATTTTACGACTTTTATTTTCACCGTAAATCGTCGAAAAAGAAAAAACAGTTTTGCATAATTACGACAAACTTTTCATGCGCACATCATTGGGGAGAGGCAATATCACTTTCCCGCAAATAACGCAGGTGTGTGCGTGTTTCAGTGTATATACGCGCGCGCACGCGCGTGTGTGCGAGTTTCAGGAATGTACAATAGAGACTGTAACGAATTCGTGCAAGTATAATTTTTCTCCCTGCATCCCATCCCTTTCTAAATGCAAATTAGAGCAAACTGCGATCGACGGCTCGATAACGCATAAAGGAAACGAACAGGTACCGTTTTTGTTTCTTTCTTTTTATCTCATATCTAACCGCAGCAAATATTTTTTGTTTTTACAAAAAAAAAAACGTAGCCAGCTTAAAATATTAAAAAAAGTAATAATTATGTAAACAAAATGCGCAATTATTACGAAATATATTTTTAAATCCGACATCAACAGAATATTATGAGCTTTGTAAAGCTAGACGCTTATAACAATATCGCTTTTTTTTCTTCCTTCCTGTTCGCGAGCAACGCAAACTACCGAAAAATACGATATGTCATCCGATAAAACAAGATGGAGCAAAATAGCCGGGCATCGTGTTGTTTTTTTTCTTCCCCACGCCTTGACGATGCGGCCGACGATAGGCCGGGCCGATAAAGAAGAATCTTAACGAGGGGTTGCGGCGAGGTTAAACTATACGTTTATACGGGACTCTTTGCGGGAAGGGGGCGACTTGCGGCGCGCGGAGGAGGTCGACCGGTTATTAGAACGGGGAGCACGAAGTTGCCCGAGAAGGTGTCTAATAGCCCGCCAAGAGTACAATCGCCCACGAAGGTTTCGGCGCGGGGGCCACGTACTTTACATACATTTGCATCCCACCGCCACAAATCCGGCCGATCGCGGAAAGACCGGCGGAGGTGACGGGTAAACCGGCGGGGGAGGCGTCTCTATCTTGGCAAGCCACCCGAAAGAGCTCGCTGAGGTGTGAAATCTTTAATCTGTTCGGCTCTTCCTCTTTCTCGTCCGGCGAAAACGTTGCTTTGGATTTCCAACAGCAAAATTTAACGCAACGTTATCGTATAATTTTTTTTTGTACCGCGCCGTCTCACACAAAAATAAAACTAAATTACGGTGTGCTCGCGGTCGAACGCGCTGAAAACGCTTCAGAGTATGTAAGAGAAATGCATTTATTAAATATAAATTTTAAAAATAACTCTTGATGTTGTTACCTTAACGTATCCGCATCTATATGTATACCTACATATATGCATATATATGTACATATAATTGCACGGGAAAATAAAAGCCGACGAGAGAAGCTTGCGCGAAAAAAGAAAAATACTCATTATTTTCGATTAAATGGAGAATATTATGTTTTTCTCTCTCGTATTTAGTTTTAAAATTTTTAAATTAATAGAAAAACGAGTGAGAAGACAAGTTTCAACACACAACCGTGTCGCGAAGTATAAATTATGAAAGATCTGCGTTACACCGAGCGCGTGTTAAAATCGCATATTTTACATTGAAACAAAAAAAACCTGTATTGCGTAAATGAAATAAATAATATCACCTGGAAACAAATGTTCGGCTGCACATCCGCTCGCGCGCGAAAATCCGTACACGCTCGTCTCATTTAAATCCTAGTTAACGTGAGCCTCGCAATGTATCAATGGGATACTATCTGTGAGCTTGTTAAGAGATATAAATCAGTAAGCTCAGCTGAGGTATTTATGGAGATGCATTAGCTTTCCGCGGGAGTATAGAATGCCAGCATTTATTTGGTAATTTCCGGCAGTCCGATATTCATCTCGCCGAATGTTATTGCGCCGCGGCGTGATAGAGCCTGACCTACGATCTCCAGAGATCGGGAGGGAATAGTGTCAGACCTTCGTCAGAGCCGGCCAATAATTGGTAGTGGCAAAGAAATACGAATTAAGTTAGGAAAAAAATAACAGAAGCCCGGTCGGTTTAATAGAAAAAAAAAACAATCCCATATAAGTCAGTAAGAAAATAATAAAGAAGAAAAGATACGGGGCTCTATTTATATTAAATCCGCGCGTATATTATAAATTAATACATTAAACAATAAATATACTAGTAGGGAAGTGGCCAATTCGAGGCAATAACCAAATCTTTGGGTACTATTTTTGTATAGTTTTTAACAAACGTTTCGACCCTTAGTTTGGATCTTTTTCAGTGTATTACATATGACAAGTTTTCAAAAATCTTGTAATTGGGTTTATGAGTTATTAACCTCTTGCGTTAGTTCTGTTTTGACAATATATTTGTATATTGCGAACGGAAATAATAAACTTATTTTCGGATAATTGCTTAATTAAAAGTAAAGATTAGTCTTACGAAGAGCTTACAGAATGTTGTGCACGCGATGTCGCTTAAGAAAGCCGCGAAACAAATAATCAAGGATTGAATATCGGTGTCTTGTAGTAGCAATCACAGCTTTCTCTGGGAGGTACTACGGTGTCCGCTAAGACGAGCGTAGTTGGCGAAGTTTGACAAGTTGGCGGTAACAGGGACGGTGGGTAGCAAGTGCCAAGAAAGTTTCGAGGAAGGATCAGTTGATGCATAGTCGCGGGAAGAAGGATGCGCCCTGCCAAGCAAAGGACGTGTTCCGCGGGACAATCGCGAGTTACGTATACATGGAAAACGCTGAGTCCACCGGTGCTTAGTCGAGTTTCGCAGGGATTCGGGGGAGAGTTTCTGATGGGGTTACAAATTCACGAGCAATTCCGAACGCGCGATTTGCTCGCAAATATTTGTCGACGGCAGTCCTTAAATCACTTCTGTGATTCTCATTTCCCTTTGCTTTGCAATTTTCCGCCTCTTACTCGTTATGAAAATCCGTTATGAGATGTGGTTTTAAATAGCGCGCACATTTGAACTCTTCTCTCTATTTGGACAAAATTTACTTATTAAAAGTACTAATTAAATAGAACACTAAAAAAAGTTTGTCGTTATATCCGAATGAAAAATAACAGTTATTCTCGTCTAAAAAGTTTTTATTTGTGGGAAGCTTTTGTGACATCGCGCGTAATTTAACGAACATATTATGGAAATGAAAGAACATAACGACGAGTTTTTATCAAGAAAAAATTCAGGACATGCTGCGCTCGTGTCGTTATTGCCGTTAATCAATGAAATTGCATCAGTTTTGTTCATGAGTGCGGATGTGTCGGTTTTTTTTTGTGCAATATAATAATTCGTATTGATTGCGAAGCGCGTGACGCAGAAAACATTTGTAACCTTAGAGCAGATAATAATTAAGCAGCGCGCGACATCGTGTTTATCTGGTGTACATGACATGACGTCCCGTTGGGGGGAGGGATATGACAAAGCTCGACTCGACAAAAGGTTCGCAATCATTATTATTATTTGTCATTCGTTTAAATATTACGTCACAATAATATCTATGGATTTAACGGCGCAAATAAAAATTAATGCAATGCGATTTTACACACGCTGCGAATATACCCAATTCTGACAACACGATATTTTTGTCACGAGAGCTTTCGCATTTTATTAATGTTTGATTTTCGCGAATTTCATATAACCCACGTTATATGAATCTGCTTTATGAATAATTGCAAAATACTTTTATTAATCGGAAGTAAAAAATAGATATCAGTGTGTTATTTGATAAATCTTAAAAACAAAATTTTAATCTGTTTTTTTAATTTGTTTTCGTCGCTCAACAACGAGAAATGGCGCGTCAACGCAATCTTTGCGTTCTTCTGTTTCTGTTCGTTTTTTTTTGTTTTTTTTCCCAAAACGGACACTAGCGATTGTTTCGTGAAAAATAGATGATCTTTACCAACAACTTCGAGAAATCCAGTGATGCTGGACATTGGGTCAGTATTGACCTGGCACATGTACCAACCGCTGTCAGTCTGACGCGTCTCTTTTATGTGCAGGGACCATATCCGATGGCCGCTGTGCGTCACTGCGATCCGATGATTCTTCGTGATAACGTGATTCGCTATCGTTAGAATCGTCTGCGTATCGACTCGTAGCCACGCTACCTGCAACACAAATCGGATTACGGGCGATTAAATGATTCACCCGCAAAAGTTCGCACATATATACAGATATGTGATAGAGCGCTTCGCGTTATTCCGATTTCAACGCGTTGTTTATGCAAAATAAATAAAATTTCAAACCGACTATGCATGACGTTAAAAACGTGGCTTGAATAAGAGCGCTCGTGTTCTACACAGAGAAAGCGGCGTCTTATTACTTCCAGATATTTCGAGAACTTTCTCTGGAAAGGTTTCAAAGCGCGGGAAAGTTTTATGTAAATGTACACGAAATATGCGCGCGTGTTGTGTGCAATGCTTTCTATATATCAATTCAGACGCTGACAGTTCAGACGAATGATTGTTGAAAGTAATTCTGAAGGAAATTTCATAGCAATGTGTTTTAAAGTTTAAAACACTAGAGTTCTTTGCATCTTTATTAGCCTCTGTTAACAATATTTAACATCAAATCGTGCGTTCTTAAAAAAACTTTAGTTTTATTATTTGTAGAATATATTTAATATTAACAATAATCAAATAATAATAAAGGTTAATTTTCGAGCACTCTATAGAAAATTATTTATTTATTAAAAGTTAAAAACAAACAATATATCGCAGTGATAATTTAGTATAACAGAATATACGTTTCGACTCTACTTGAGTCTCTTCTTCAGTACAAAAATATTAAGTCATCGGTGTCACGTCAATAAAAATAACAAAAAACAAAGTAAAGTTGCAGTAATACAAAACGTGCGTTGATGAACGTTACTGTTGTAGTTAAAATTTTAATTAAAAGATCTTACTTGATATAAAACATCGTAAAGGCGCATTAGATAGAAGCACATTTGAATAGAAATGATATTGGTGTGTGTATTATGTCATGTGAAAAGTAAAAAACCGAACGATTTTTTCATATTTAATATTAAATTAATATTAAATAATTAATATTAATATTAAATATATAATATTAATGTTAAATGTGATTAAAATCATACTTTTCTAGAAAAAAATAAAAATATAAAGTGTCAATATAATTATTACACAAAATTAAGGAGACCTCATTATCGTGCGATTGAAGCAACTTGTCGATCAGTACACGAAAAAGAAATTTTTTGTTTTATGTTTTTCGGGACACGGGATGTGTAGAATTAAATTTTCGAGATGCATTTCGTACTTTGCTTTTGCGAGCAAAGCATATCGTATTCAGTGTGATAATAGATACGGAGTTGCATGGATGCCGCTTTATATCACTCTAGTCTAGTTGCGGCCAATTAATATTTTATCATCTGCGTTGTAAAAACAGATTTACATTGCAAGTTTCGTTTACCGAGAAAAATGAGAAAGAAAACTGTGTTCGGAAAATTCTTTTTTTTTTCCATTTGCTTTTTATTAGACGTAATAGCTAGCGGTGATGCGTCGTGATGCTGAAAGGGAAGTGTGACAAAAGCGTATTATAACTTTATATTTAGCGATAGTGCATGCATTAGTTTAATAATGCGATTATAATAACAATGTCGCAAAAATTACCTCTAATGAATTGCACTACTGTGCACAGCGCGTTTCCGCAATATTCATGGTGTTTTTTTTGAAATTTAGATCATATATATATATATATATATATATATCGATATGAAAGCTTAATTAAAAACAACTTCTTGTCGCGATCCAATAATCCGATTAAAATTATTATTTTAGAATAACTTTACAAAATAGTAACTTTACAAAGCAACACAATCTCGTCGCATATAAAATATCAGCACGAGAGAAAAAATACGTGTATCTAAACGTATAAATTACAGACAAAAGACGTGTAACTAGATGTGTAGTACAATAAAAAATATATTCATGATTACGAGCGTAAGTTTCTTTTACAGAAGCCAAATAACATTTAAAGAGTGTCAAAGCTAAAAGTGTCAAGGTATAATACTATCGCAGACGGAATCCAAATCAAACGGAATGATAATGTACGCGACCCGACGTTGCCGCTTTCGCGTTTTGTACCATTTCCCGTAAAAGCGATTCTTCTATCTATCCGATCCAATAGCCGCGGAATACGGGCGGAGTGCGCTTCTTCGGGACACATTTATCGCTTTTGTAGATCGCGTCGCAACCAAGCCGAGATATCTCATTAAAAAAGTAGATGGTATTCCTTGTGTAGTTATTTTTCTTAAGAGAGTGAGAGAGAGAAAAAAAATTGAGAACAAAAAAAGAAAAGACAAAGATCTCGATGGAACGACGCGGCGTGCGCGGTTTTATTTATGAATGTTGCGAATCTTCCGCTTTTCCGTGCGCGCCATCCCCCTTTTCTATGTTCCCGACACACCCCGCTCTCACACTCCCGTCCTCATCGCGGAAGCTGTCAACGCGTCTCATCGTCCAAGTGCTACCGACAATGTGCTCGACGCTTACCAACTACGCTCGTAACATAAAGAGAGAGAGCGCGGGGAATGAAGAAGTGAAGGAGGTAACGGAGAAGCGTCGAGGAGGGAGCGACAAAAAAAGGAACTTCTTGTTACAGCCGAAGTCGTAATACACTCGACGCCCGTTTTAGAGCGTGTCGTCTCTTTAGCTCGCGCGCGCGAGCTCCCTCGGACCGTAGGCGATGTGTGTCGCGTACAAGTCGCGCAAACCCGCCACGTGTCTCATGTGCACTGGACAGCCGGAGAGAGGCGGTCGCGTTCGCGCTAGTCTGCGAGAAAAGGAGAGGCGTTTTCTAGAGAGAACGGACTCTCGAGAGCGGAAAAGCGGTGGTTACGTCCGCCGTAGAAAGAAACCTCGGAAAAAGAAGGTGCCGGAGTGTACTGGAGCGGGTGGCGCGAAGAAAGCAGCGGCGGAGGCACGAGGGGAGAACATAGGGCGGTTGTAAATTGTGTGCGCAAGACGGGGGCGAAAGCTCTCCGAGGTTGACAGAGGAGATGTGTGTACGTGTGTGTGTGTGTGGCTTCTGTAACGCGCGTGCATACATTTTGTGTTGTTTTTTTTCTTACTTTTCGCATCTCTTCTTGTCGGATATCGGTGCACGCGTCTATTACACACGCATGAAGAGTTTCGAAGGCGCATAATGCGAAGCGTCGTCATCTGTCCTCATTCCTCGCTTGCGGTTTAGTAAGTGTGCGAGTGCAATTACTCAAGTTCGCGTACAGAACCGAAATGCGAGTAGCAACGCGGCATCCCGCGCTCTTACAAATGATTCGTCTCGCGGTAACGATATAATTGCACGTCGCTGTAATCTTGCCGCGGGCGCGTTTTCTCGCGGGCGCGCGTCTGAATAAACGCCACGGAAATTTCTCACAGCCCCGCGTCTCGCCATCGGGGTGCGGGACGCAACACTTTCGTATCCCTTTTTCGCGTAACGCGCTGTACTGTGTGTTCTCTGCTTTGGACGTGCCGCGACATGCCTCGAGTTTGCCCAGGAAAGAGAGAGAGAGAGAGAGAGAGAGAAATACAGACAGACAGACAGAGAGGGTTTGTGAAAGAGCGGCGAGAGGAAATCAGAACTCGGCGGCGACTCTTTATTTTCGTTTACGTCAGTCGGTTGCACGAAACGATACCTGTGTATACCCATCCTTTCGGGCTCTTTTCCTCGCAACTCTTCCTTCCCCTCTCTCGTTTCGCAACGCTCTCGCGCTTCATCCCTTTCAGTTGCGGCAAGTACGAAAAGTATCCGCGGGTACTTCTTTAATTTCGCGAGATATCTCTCGCCGAGAGACGCGCGCGGGGGCGCTTTCGCGACTCGGACTCGCGGTGAAAAATGACTCCGGCAAGTTCTTCTTACTCCCCTTCTCCGAGGGTGCACGCGAAGACGATCGCTCATCCCATCTTCTTCGATTTCTTTTCTCGCGTGCAATCGTCGCCCGTATAAGCAACGCGGAAGAGAAACGTCACGAACGATATGTTTGAATACCGCGCGATACAATGTAACGTCCCGGCACATATTTTCGATATCCGCACTTACTTCTCGCGCAACATTTGCTGCGCCGTGAGTTAACGAGGTTTACCAACGGTCCTTAATTGTTGACAAAAACCGCACTTCACCGATGACAGTAGGGCGCGCGTTACACCATCTCCATGCAATATTATATTTATTTGACTAATTGGGAGAGGGAGGAGGGAGGGAACACAGAAATCGTGTCAATTGTCGCTGCCGTTTGCCGCAAGTGCTTTTAAATAATTAGATTGCGCGCGTGTAAATACATGCGGATATTGTGCTTGCGCGGTGTGCGTGTCCGTTCTGCTGCAAATATTATTCAAAAACGTTCCGCCAAGTGGACGTTATACATATACGATGAAAATCGCTGTGTACAACTTTTTGGAAACACGAGTTAATTATACTCATTAGCATTGTTGACCGCGATTAAAAAGTTTGCTCCTGAGAAAATTTAAAAAAATGTAAAAAAATTGGAAGCATAAAGTGGCCGCGTATATACAAACGTATGCGCGACGCAACACGATGTGAAATTAAAACTACGTTACGACGACGTGTACATATATACTCGCCGCCTGTTACGCGATATCGCTTGAATATCGTCGTGTCTGAAGAAGGGGACGGTCTTCAAACGCGCGCGCACGCCGTTTCGCGCGTTATGAATAAAAAATGGTGTTTTCTCGGACGGCGTTGTAGCGCGCGGCCGCTTACACGACGACGTAATTATACTTGTTCGCGAGGAAAAAAACGAACAGACGGTGATTCGTATTTGCGCGACCTGTATACAGCTCGAGCGTGTGTGTGCGCGCGCGCGCTCGCGCGAGCTCAAATATTTCAACAAGCCTCAAGCGAATTTCCAATATATAATAATCGAGAAGAGAGAGAGAGAGTTGAATTTTACATTACGTTGTGTTTGGCATCACCTCGCCCGATGTGTCGTGTGTAATTCTCGGCGCAACTTACAATCTCTGTAATGCGCAGCAACGGTTTAATGCGCTCTTCTGTAATTTAATTTTGACGTCAATCAATTAATCGGCGATATAGAAACATATTTTCATACACGCGAGTCCATATTATCGTC